ATTTACCGCAATGTACGTTTCATCAAATTGCAATAATATTTCAAATCATGTCAAGAATCACACTCGCTTCATCATCGAGACAATACGCGAAACAAGATTTCGAGAATTGCATTGTATACATATATAAGAGGTATACTTGTTCACAACATAACGACATGACGGCGGCACGACGGGCCGAACGGGACACCCCGTATACGCGCGACGGACGGTCATCGTTACGGTAGCGCGTAATACTTTACGGTTCGGCGTGCGTATTATCGCGGAATCGCACAGGACAAGCGCAATTTTTGCATGGAAAATGGCGCTACGGTACTTTCAGCCTCGCCGCTCGTCCGCGGCGGACGACGAATCTAGGCTAGGCCTAGGAACGACACGGTCATCGACCACCCTTGATTTTTTTTTCTAAAGACGGAGAAAGCCGCGCCGCATGCGCGCAGTCCGATTTCCCGTTGATTAGATTATGACACCGTTGCGCTATGTGGCGTCGGACGCGAAATACATATCCCAAGACGCACACGTGAATTATACCCTCCGGAAGACAATCGAGGATTTTCAGATCAGTTTGTACCTTATCAGTTTGAATCTTATCTACGTCAATTATGTTGCTCTATATATATATATATATATATATACACTTGTATATACATGTTTATGATATATTTATTTATTGAGATTTATATTCTTTTGGAGAAAGAAAATATCAATACTTTTTTATTTCTGTTCTCGGCACACAATATATTTATCAAGTAGACGTAATAATACTCTTTGTTATCCTGTCAATTGACAATAGGCAATATGACAGTAGCAAATAAAATATCGAGTTAAATCGAATGATGCTGAATTGGGAATATCTCTCGATCTTCGGGTGCTTCGCGAACATGCAAGAAAGTACGGATCTTTTCGATCAGTGCCCCCCGTACGAAAAGTGCAACGACCGTTCCAATAAATCGACCGTCCCCCTCTCCCTGCTTCTCTCTCTCTCTTTCTCTCTCTCCCCCTCACCACCACCTCTCCTACCCTTCGCCCCACCTCCCATCCCAAAATGATTACATATACGCAAGTTCGCAGTGACCGCGGCTACGAACCGCGGCTGCGGATACCGTTATGTCACATTAGTAGGCACCTGCAAGCGTTATTATCCTCTCCCACAGCGTGCCATTCTCAAAATCGAAAAGCACTTATCCTGTAACACGCGAGAAAACGGTACCGGCCATCGACATCAGTCGAACCGGCATCTGAAAATATCCTAGCG